AGAAATAGAAGTGTCCATGAAGCAGAAAAGTACTGGGTAGACCACCAAGAGCAAGAAAAGTAAGCAGAGGTAGGCAGCACTATAAAGTTTATATAGTATCTAGATCATTTCAGAGTTTCATATGTATGGATCTGACCTTAATCAGCTTGCCAAAGACACAACTTAACTTAAAAAAAAAAAAAAAAAAAAAAAAAAAAAAAAAAAGTAGTATTTGGGCTACTGAATATGCACATGGAAAAAAAGATCAAATTGCAAATGTGCATAATGTAACCTGTGGCCTGACACTACCATGTTGGTATCTGGATAAAACAAAGCTAACAGCATTCCTCATATTGACTAGCACCCAGCCTAACATCACAGCCAAAATATCCATAATGCAATCCAAAATCATTTGGCATTCAAAATACCAGTAAGTCTCAACTTGTATGAGAAGAAAAAAAATCAAAGATGTTAACACAGATATTAAGTAGACATTATTCATCTCTGAACAGTAGTTTTGTGTCTTCTTTTCTGATATTTGTAGAGAAAAGTATACTCACATGACAGACTTTAAGACAAAAACTTTACAATACATTCATTGTAGTGGTTATAAAAGTGGCACAGTAAAAAAGATCCTTGTCCTTGCAAGATGTGATTTAAGCAACAACTTAGCAAAATGTGTGACAATGAAGTGTAAGATAAAGACAACACAAGCATAGCAAAATGTTCACAACTGTGAGCTGAAGAGCAGGGTATTCATTGTACTATTTCTGAAACTGATATTTAAATTCAAACATTTTCAAACCTATTGATTTCACTAATACATTTAACATGGATGACTCCCAGGAGCACTCTGCTAAGTCAAAAAAGCCAAGACACAAAAGGATGAAGAGTGTGTATGTATTTATATTTCATTTATTGAACGTTACAGAAAGATCTATGGTAACCAAGAGATGGGATGAAGAGAGAGACCATAAAATTGTGGAGAACTCCCTAAGCTGCTGAAGGTTTTCTGAGTCATGATTCAGTGGCAGGCATGCTACTATATTTATTTGTCAAAACTAAATACTTAAAATTGGAGAATTCCATTACAAGTAATGCATACTTTGTAGTGGATTGAACTGTGTCCGATCAAAAAGATAGCCATATATTCTAACCTCCAATACCTGAGAAACTGACTACATTTGGAAAGAGGATCTTTACAGGGGTAATTACGAATCTTGAGAGACTATCTTGTACTTGATACTACTTTTTAAAGATTTACTTATTTAATATGTATTACAGTGTTCAATCTGCCTGCATGTATGCCTGCATACCAGAAGAGAACACCAGATCTCATTACAAATTACTGCAAGCTAACATGTAATTTTTGGGAATTGAACTCAGGACCACTGGAGGAGCAGCCAGTGCTCTTAACCGCCATCTCTCCTGCCCCAACTATCCTGTACTTATAGTGGCCCTAAATTCAGTAACTGATGTCATTCTATGAGGATATAGAAGAGGATTTGGGGAAGAGGGGAGATCCAAAAGAAAAGGCCACTTGAGGAAGAACCAAATGAAATGAAATGTAGCTGAATGACAAGGAACATCAAGGACTGCCCAAAGTCACCATAAACTGGGATAATCAGAAACTCTGAAAGGAACCAAACCTGTGACATCTTGACAATGAAGTTATGCTGTCTAGCTCCCAAAACAAAAACAAACAAACTTTTTCAATGTTGAATCACAATTAGGCTATCAAACAATAGAAAAGTGGAAAGTCTCAGTAAAGGAATGGAGGCTATAAAAAAGAAATGCAAGACTAAAAACTGAAAAATACAATGATCATAATACAATTGACAATCCATACTCAGATATATCATGACAAAACTATTAAAATCTAAAGACAGGGCTGGAAACATGGGTTGGGAGTTAAGAGCACTTGATGCTCCCGCAGATGACCAGGATTTGGATCCCTGAACCCACATGGCAGCTCACAATTATCCGTAACTACAGTTCTGAGGATCCAATACTCTCTTCTGGACTCTGAGTACATACATGTGGTGTTCTTATATACATGCAAGCAAACACTCATACACATAAAATTTTTTAAAAAGCCTAAAAATTAAAGATCACCTCTTGAAAGTATCTTCCATATCATGTAGTTCCAAAAGGGAGCAGCAACTCAGATAACTACAGATTTATCATCAGCAATAGATAGAACCAGAGGCAGAAAAACAGTAAGGACATGGAATTATTGAAAAAATATCATGATCCAACTAGATCCAACTGACACTTATGGAACACTATTCCCAGCAAAATAGAATGTACATGGATGGTGTCCAGGGATATGTGGAACATTCATCCTGAATCATACCCATATAGAATTGGAATTATACAAAGTATGTTCTATTTTAATACAAAACTAAACTAGAAACCAATAAAAAGATAATGGAAGCCTGGATGATGGTATACACTTTTAATCTTAGAACCCAGGAGGCAGAGGCAGGTGAATCTCTTGAGTTCAAGGTTGGCCAAATCTACATAGTTAAGACCCTTTCTTAAGAGAAAAACAAACAAACAATAAAAAACCAAAAACCCCACTACATACTAGGAAAATAAACAATACACTTATCAATGAGTTATGGGTCAAAAAGAGACTTGACTGAGTAAAAGTAGAAATAAAATATATGAAAACATCTGACGTGGGCAAAGGAAGACTAAAAAGGAAGTTTCCGCATTAAAATGTTTTTATTAGAAAAGGAAGTCTTAAAACAATAAACTGTAATTCAATACTAACAAGAAAAGGATAGGGCCATTACAAACAGAAAGAAATAATAAAGATAGTAGAAATCAGCTGGGCAGTAGTGGTGCATGCCTTCCAGCCTGGTCTACAGAGATAATTCCGTAACAGCCAGGGCTACACAAAGAAATCCTGTCTCAAAAAAGGATAGTACAAGTCAATGAACCTGAAAATAGAAAAATAAAACCCTAACTTAGGAGATCAGCAACTTTGATAAATTCCTAGAAGACAAAGCAATAATAATAATAATAACAACAATAATAAAAGGAGAAAATAGGGATTATCAATTTAATAGTACTTCCTTATTCATGGGGTATACATCTCAAATAGCCTAGTTAATGCTTGATACCTCAGGTAGTACAGAACTATTCTCTCTGGTAAACTTACAATGTTAAGTTAGGTCTAGTTAAGATGTTAACAGTAATAAAACCTAACCATACACTGTAAAGGCATTATCAACAGCTTCCCTAATTCTGAGGTCTCAAGTTTGAAGAATGAACCATTGCCAGCAACATGGGGTCTTCAGCTTTTAGACCCACATGACACTTTTTAGTCTCTGTCATTTCAGTCTGGTTACCCTAAAAAACTACTCCCATCTTTCTATCCTCCTATATTTTTTTTGTTCTACATCAGTGGAGTAGAAAGAGCATTGCATGCCATGACAGGTATGCATGGGACTGTAGTCAAATGAAATGGTTTCAGTGTGAAAAAAAAAAAAAATCCTTATGCTTTACTTGTAGATTCCATTTCCCTGCAAACTCTTGGCAACCACTGGCCTTGTAGAATTTCCATAGCTTTCCCTCATTAAGGATGTCATATTTGAAATCATATTGTGTAGTTTTTTAATATTGATTTCTCTTAGAAATATTAAAAACACTGAATATTTTAATTCTACAATTCATTCTAGTGTCAAGTAGTATTCCATTTACTAGAGCTATTGAAAAGTAACTCATTTGCTTTCAAGTTTTGGCAGTTATGAAAAGCTGCCACAAAAATTCAGATACAGAGCTGGGAGAAATGGTTCAGTGGTTGTTCTTGCAGAGGACTCCACAACCGAAAGGTTAAAGTGAGGCCTTGTCTGGGGGGGGGGGGGGAAGTGGAGGGTTTGCATAATTAAGAGATACTAGAGGTAGAAGTATAGACTTCACATATGTGCACTTTGCACACACACCCTCAACTCCCCTCCAAATAAACAACAAAAACTCAACTTAGGTGTATTTGTCTGTGCATCAGATTTATGTTCACTTGGGTACATACCAGTGTGTGAAACTGCTAAGTCATACATAAAGGTAACGTTCTGCCTTCCTTCTCTTTGTGAGTGTTGAGCATTTTAGTTTGGTCAATTTATGAGTACTTTGCGTCCTATGACACTGAGCATCTTTTTAATGTTTACCTGCATGGTTAGGTATCTGTTAAAAGGGCTGTGGATTTTCTTAAGATGGGTGGTTAGTTGTGTGTATGCATTAGTAAGACTTCTTTACCGCATCTTTTGTAGTCCTCTCCCTTTCCACTAATTACCTTTTGACAGTAAGTGATCACTGTATAATCGTGCAACTTAATGACACCAGTCCTAACACTTATTTTTTTTTTTTTCCTTTGCTTGAGATTTCACAATTACCATTTTAGAGGGCTACAAAATAATCGCACTTCTCCCTCGACAGCCCGCCGTGGCAGATGAGTATTCATTTGCCGGGCTCTCAATCAACTGCCACTGTCGCACACGGTGTTTTCCAGCTGGCCAAGCTGACTCCGCCCCGAGAGAGCTGCTATGGGCACCTCTTTTTAAGGGCTCTCTGGGAAGCAGGCGGAAAGCGAGGCAGAACTGCGATTCTTTCCGCGGGCGGGCCTCCGGGATCGACGTGCGAAGGAAGGCGGCGTGGTCGGCGGGGCTCCCGGCCCAGCTCGGAGGCTGGCACCCTCCCGCGCTCACCACCCCGGGGCGTGAGCAGAGGCGGAGACAGAGGCAGAGACAGCCTCGCGCCGCCCCACCCAGCGGAGGACGCGCGGCCCCCGGAGCGGCGTCGCGAGCGCGGGTGTGGGTGTCGGTGCCGGTGCCGCTCACCTCCCGGCTGTCGCACGGCCGCGCGGGCCCTCGGAGGAGCGCGGTGCTCGCGGTGAGCCTGGACCTGGCTGGGCGCCACTTCGGCGCCGAGCTCGGTGGCGTCCTCGAGGAGCAGGGCCCAGGCGCCGTCCTGGCCGGGCGGCCACGGCGAGGCGCCGCTCCTGACGCCCACCGCCCGCCGGCCGGTGTGCTCACCTGGGCCGCAGCGCCTGGCCGCGGAAAACGGAAGTAACCCTGAGGTAAGGCGGCGCGGGGGCCGAAGCCCGGTGCGCCGCTAGTTTCCTCGGCGGCTGGCTTCCCGGAATAGGCGGGGACCGCGCGATCCTAGAGCGTGGGCCGGAGTGCTGGGCTCGTCTCCGGAAGCGGGGTGGTGGGCGGGGTCGCCGGCATACCCGGAAGTCGAGAGGTGCGGGAGACGCTGGCTGCCATCTAACGGGAGAGGTTGGACCCTGTTTGAGGTCGTTTTAGCTCAAGTCGCGACAGAAAGTGGACCTCTGCGCGGTGACCACCGTTGTGGTGTGACAGTACGACGGGTGTTTCTCTCTTACCGTTCTCTTAGTAGGGGTGATGTGTTTTTTGAAGTGTTGGTGCTCAAACAAGGCTACGTAAATGTTCCTGGACCAACCAACCAACACAGTCTACTACCGTTGTACTTGGGCAGCGGGAAGTTTGCAAGGCAATCAGTAGCTTTCATCATTATCTCAGAGGTGAGCTAGCAAATGAGGAGCAATCGATCCACGACCTCGGCGAGAGAAGAGCGTCAACGTCCAAGGCTTCTCTGGTCCTCAGTAGTATTTGCTTTAATGGATTGCTGCGGATCCCCTCTGGGTTATGAAGAAGATAAACCACAACCTCTCCACCTAAGTGTTGGACAGATCCTCCTGAGGTTGGGTGGTTCGGTCCGGGGTGACTCCATTCTTTGTCTCTTGTAGGTCGTTTTGATTTACTTGTTCATTTATTTAGGGCAGAGTGAGGCTGTTTTAATCAGGAAATTCCACAAAGGTCCTCCGATCTTTAGAAAGCTGTTGATTCTTTCTTAGCATATGAAAACTCAGTGGCAATGTGAACTTTGAGATGTAATGACTTAGTCATGTAATTTTGTACCCATTGGAAAGACACTACTAAGGCTCTGCTTCATATAAAAAATGAAGATTAGTCTTGTTTAAAAGGGAACTTATTTTGTTGCATTACTGAAAAGCAGCACCAACAGTTAACCAACTTTAATTTTCATTTTTCTCTTTCTTTGGGCCTCATACATAACGTTAAGTTTCCAGGACTGTGTTAAGAAATATGCTTAAGGTAACAACTTACAAACTGGGCATGGTTAATTCACGACATGTGAATTCCAAGATTCACCAGTAGAATCTTGGAATTGAATCAAAAATATAGTTTCCCACACTTTGGTTGAATATTATTCTGACAGATGTGTCTTATTATAAAGACATGAATAATATTGATTTTGTTTGTTTTGTTTTTCAAGACAAATTTCTCTGTGTAGCCCTGGTTGTCCTGGTTCTCACTCTGTAGACTAGGCTGGCCGCAAACTTAGGATTCAGAGATCCACCTGCCTCTGTCTCCTCAGTGCTGGGATTAAAGGCATGTATCATTACGCCTGGCAACAATTTGGTCTTTTCGTCTGGGGTTTTATCTGCATGGGGTTTTCAAAAGATAAATTCTTATTAGACTTTCTAGAAAGCAGCATGTGTTAGAGAACTGAGAGTGGAAGTCTGAGAAGGGATAAGGTTTGAATCCATTCATTTCAGAAGAATCATTTAACCTCAACTTTTAGTTTCTTTATTTGTAAATTGCAAATAGTCCTGATGAGATTAACTCACAGGTCACACTGTGCTAATGTATTTCATCGTGCTTCACTAAATTTTATTCCAACTTTGTCTTTTGTTGATGGTTTGATTCCTTGTTCGTTGCCCTGTTTGTGGACAAAGCACAGACTGTTTTAGTTAAAGAAACTTGGAGATGGCTTCTGATCATGTCACATAACAGTCAGAATTCTGTTAGGGAAGACATGGGACACAATACACAAGTGACATTCTCTCATTCTCTGATTCTCTGTCCTCCTGCTCTTATATACATGATTATCATTGCAAATTTAAGCATAAATTAATTGGGTTTAAAGGGAGTCCGGCCATTAAGTGGGGGGAGGTTGTTTATACACACACACACACACACACACTTCCTGAGACATATTTCCTGTGTAGTTCTGACTGGCCTGGAATAATTCACTAAGCAAGCTTGAACTCATACATACATACATATATTTGCCAGGGTTAATTTTGAAGTTTCTTGCAATTTCTGATTTGTTTCAGTGGGAAATTTTCACTTCTCTGTGGTTCTGCATTAATTATCATTTATCCCCAAACACTAGTAGATCCCATTGAAAAGGACATGATGTTAGTTGAAATTAGTTATGGCTTTCTATAACAGGTCAACATGCCTTAGTTAATTCTTTAAAACACTGTTTGATTATCTGGCTTCCCCTCTTACATTCAGTGTTTTTGCAGTTCTTGGGTCTTCTACAATACATTGCCCACATGGCTCTCTCAAAATACACTGCTGATAAATTGACTGGGGCTCATCAGCACAGCACTTGACTGCCATGTGTGTGGCTCTGGGTTCTGTCTCCACCATTGCCAGAAAACAGCAGCATAAACCTGAATCATTCAAGGGGGAAAAATAAAAACACAGAAGAAATAATTGAATATTCAAAGGAGAATTTGTACTAAGATCAGACTAGACTAATAAAGCACAAGACTAGAGGAAAAACTGGCTTGGATCCAGAACCATGCTCCCAAAGGATAGTAGCCTTCCCTAGCCCCACCTTCTTCCCTGACCCCACCATTTCCCTAGCCCCGTCTTCTAGAGAGTGGTTTCAGGAGGCCTGGCTAGCTAGGTAGGAGAGATAGCCAGAGAGAACTATATGGTTGAAATCATACACTTGACATATTTCAGGACATGGTTGTAGTTTATTTGCTGTGAGCATTTGTGTGTGGGGTGTGTGTGTGTGTGAAATTTTTCTAGACAAGGTTTTTCTAGCTCTGGCTGGCCTGGAACTCACTATGTAGACCAGGCTGGCATGGACCTCAGAGATCTGCATCTTGAGTGAATTAAAGGCATGCGCTACTACCACCCAGCAAGAATTTTGTATGGTTTATCTCCCCCCCCCCCCACAGCACCCAATATTCTTAGGCAGTCTCTCATCCAAGTACTAACCACTGCCTTTTTGAATGTTCTTAAACATTCTATTTTTCCTATGTGTATGAATATTTTGCCTACATGTATATATATGTACCACCTATGTGCTTAGTAACTGTGAAGGCTCAGATCCCCTGTAAGTAAAGTTTTAGTGGCTGTGAACTGCCACATGGGTGCTGAGAATCAAACCGAGGTCCTCTGCAAAAACAGTAAGCATTGTCCTATACCACCACCCCTCACAACAACTTCTCTTTTTGCCTTTTTTTTTTTTTTTTTTTCTTGAGTAGGGTTCTCACTGTGTCTGGCCCTGACTGATCTGGAACTCACTAAGTAAGCTTGAACTCAAACAATATCTCCTGCCTCTGTCTGACTCAAGTGCTGGGATTAGAGTATACCACCCACACCCATAAAACATTTTCATCCTGCATCGAGTTTGAAAGCTTTTAGCTGTATTTCAGGGAATGGATGAATGCTAACAGCTCTTTTGTGCATACTGTACATGCCTTTGCTGCTGTGTATGACATTACTAGGAATATCATTTCTCAGTGACTCAGGTTTGATTCCTCAAAACAACAGCTACTGAATTAAGGTGTGATTCTTTCAAAATATAATTTTTGTTGTGAATCTAATTTGTGTTTATTCTAGAAAATGTAATTAAAAAAAAAAAAAAGAAGAAGAAGAGCTAGCATGGTGAGCTACAGCTCTCCAGAAGCTGAGGCATGAGGATCACAAATCTCAAGTCAACCTAGGCAAACAGCAAAACAGTGGCTTAAGAAAAGTACAGAGAAGAAAGTAAAAATGTGTTTTGCAGTGTAAATCAAATGCTGGTGAATATTTTGGCATCTTTCCCTATGCCTGTTTTTCTCTATGAAATTGCCATAAAATCTATTTTATGAATGCTTCAAAGTCAGTTTAACTATATCCTTTATTCTTTAACAACTAAATAATTCTGTAAAAATGTTTAGCTACTAAACAATTGTTTACCACATGCTTGGTTCTGTGGGGCGCTAGGGACAGTGGCCAAACAGGTTTTTTGGTTTTGTTCTTTTGCCTCTGTAGACTTCATTAGAAACAATTTTAAAATAACTTCTGGAGGAGAGAAGTCCGGACTCTGTAAATATATCATAACAGGAAGTCTTAAGATGGGTCCCTCCCGGAAATGAGAGTGCTTGGACACCTGGCAGACCAGCAGCCTCTAGTCTTCCCTACTAGGGCTTAATATAATGTGGCTGGTGAGAGGGGCACATCATGAGATGGGGAAGACCAGGCAGGTCCACATGCCCTAGAGCATCTATAGGAAAAGAAGAATCAGGCCTAGAATGCATTAATGTTTACAGCTTCCATCTTCACACTCTATCCCATCTTCAGGGTTCCCATAGATTGTCAGTAGGGACTTGCTGAGTCATTCCAATTCAACGTAGAAGTCTTAATCGAACATGTAAGCCAGTAGCTCTCTGGGGTCATTTTTTACTCAAAGAGGACGTTTCCTTGGAGATAGCAGAGCCCTCAGAAACAGCCTTTACTTCAATGGGAGGTGACTATTGTAGCTCCACCCCTTCTCTTTAAAGACATCATATTGGAAGTGCTTTTTGTACACTTGGAAATGTACCTGTGTATACAGGCCCAGTGACACAGTGGGGTTCTCAGAACCCTGGTGTTGATAAACTGCAAGGCTAACTGTAACCAGAGCCATTAGGCAGGCAAATGTATTTTCATGTGTTATGTTCTCAGACATTCCTTGCTAGTCCCAGGATGAGCTGTCATTTCCTTTCACAGATGAAGAAATTGAGGCTTGAGTAAGTTCCTTAAAGTCACAAGGCAAATGAATTAAGAGTTCAGACTCGAGGAAGGTCCTTGCTCGGCACTGCATCAATGGCTCTGGCTAGCAAGCCTCCAGCACCTTCTGCACTCCTCCTCAGCCTTCATGCCCTTCGTCTAGGCAGCCTCCACTCCTTGTCTCTACCCCACCACTAGTCTTCTTGCTTGGCAATGCCTGAGACATGGTGAAGATCATTTGTCCTGTCCATCTGGTATCAGCTGTGCTGTAATGCCAGTGTCCTCTAGGGAGCCTCTGTACAGTGTAGGAGATCTGCTTATCCAAGCATTGTGCTGCAGGCTATTAGACAAGATCACAGGCAGACCATGTCTGTAAGATACTATCTATTCCTTGAATGATTCTAAGATAAAAATGTCTCACCTTAGAGCATTCCCATAACCCAGCCTGGAAATTAGTGCCTCCTCTGTGCTTCTTGATACTATTGAGTGTCTTAGGTCTTCACCCAGAGTGAAGCACTGACTCTGGGCTGTGTTTTCCACTGTGAACAGAAAGTTTCCTCAGGAATGGCAGAGCCCCAGGAAGAGCCTTTGCTTCCATGGGAGATGACCATCAGAGTTCCACTCCTCTTACTAAAGACATCACCTTGGACATGTTCTTTGTGCACATCTTAGGCTTCCTGGGTTTTCTCTTGCTACTTCACCTTTTAAGTACTCATTAAGAACGTACTGCAACCCATAAGCTACTGTCTCCTTATGTGTTACCTCTCTTCCTTTGGAGTTTTCTGTCTTCTTTTCACAGCATTTAAAGTAGAAATAAACTTTGCTTGTGTTGAATGGGCATTGTTTATAGTAAGTCACTTTGGATGAGTGAGTGACCAAGAGGATGTTGAACTCAGCCAAGCTGCCACACAGAATTGGTACTGCAGCTCCATGCCTCCCACCAAAGTACTCTTGTAAGCCCTCATTCTGAGAAACACCGAATGCCCCTCAGCGGAGATGGGCAGAACTCTGAAGTCCTCACTCTTTTTCACATCTTCCTATTCAGAGTGTGCTATTTTCTTTATAGTTTTCCAGTCCCTAATGTTTCTCGGTATTACTTGGAACATATTTCCTAATAAAAATCATAGTCTTCTATAACTCTTAGCTGAACAGCTCATGTTACAAATTACACTTATCCTGAATAAAAACAAAGGCACCCCACATATGTGATACCTTTGTGAGCTTTTTGTTTTCTGAGACCAAATTTGTCATATTGTTTGAGCTGGTGTAAAACTCATTACGGAGTACAACCTAGCCTCAAACCTCCAATCCTCCTCACTCAGCCTCCTAGATAATAGGATTCCAGGCATGTGGCACCATGTCTGGCAACATGTGGTATTGTGTTGTTATTGTTTTTTTTTTTTTTTAAGCATGCCCTGAGATAATCCTCATTGTTTTCTTTATAGGACACAGCACTAAGCAAGAACCAGAAGTGGTGTGGTGAACATTTGAAATGCAACCAGACATGCCCTTGGACAACATCAAGATGTCATCCAGTGACCTGCTGGAGAAGAAAGATCTAGACAGTGGAGGCTTCGGGAAGGTGTCCTTGTGTTTCCATAGAAGTCATGGATTTGTCATCCTAAAAAGGGTGTACACAGGGCCCAACCGTGCCGAGTAAGTCAGGAACGGAGATGGGTAGGCCCTATGCTAGCTGCCCACAGAAAGTAGTTATCGCCACCAGTGTGGCTAAGCACATGGAATTCTAAATGAGGCTGATCTGCAGGGAGACTTGACACACTGGCTATGTGAGGCATGACCATAACTCTTACTATTACTTCGCGTGAGGACATTGGGATTAATGAAAAGATATTAATGCTTGAGTAATGTGTGGGAAAGATATCTGAAGACAGAAAGCTGGGTAAAAAGAAAACAGCCTTGAGTGAAAATGCCTAACCTGAAATTAAAAAAAAAAAAAAAAAAAAAAACCAAAAAGAGACTAATTCTATGATCAAAAGTCCTAGGAACCTTGTAAAAGGCATTCAGTGGAAGACTTCTCCCTCATCAGACAATTTTGAGAGTAATGCCTTTTTTACTGTATCCTCCAGCTCGGTTTCCACCAGGCCAGGTCTGTGCTACACTTTATTTTAGTGATTTGTGTGTCATGAGTGCCCAGTTGCCAGTTCCTAAGGCAGGGTGGGAGGGAGGGGTATAAAGATGAGGAGAAGAAGAAGCCTGTCAGCCTTCTAGGACCTGTCAGTCTGGAGGAGACCAGAACAGACCTGACTGTGACGAATGTGTGCAATATGACACACTGCAGGGACACTGCAGCTTCTTAGCCACCTGGATAGAAGGTTTCATCCCAGCCTGTTACCCTTCCTGCCCACAGATACAATGAGGCTCTCTTGGAGGAGGGGAAGATGATGCACAGACTGAGACACAGTCGAGTGGTGAAGCTGCTGGGCATCATCATAGAAGAAGGGAATTACTCGCTGGTGATGGAGTTCATGGAGAAGGGCAACCTGATGCATGTGCTGAAGGCCGAGGTAGGTGGCACCTTACAGCAGTCTGTGCTAGTGTGCCAGATGCTGGCTGCTCTTGGGGGTTCGTTTGTAGCTTTCTGCTTAGGATTTCTGTCTCACTATTTAGAGTCACTCTAATTTCTTTTTTGTTTTGTTTTTTTCTTTGTTTGTTTGTTGGAGTTTTGTGATTGTTGTTTTGAGGCAGGGTCTCTGTTGCTTTGGCTATTCTGGAACTCAATATATAGACCAGGCTGGCCTCGTGCTCACAGAGATCCGCCGCCCTTTGCCTCCCAAATGCTAGGATTAAAGGTGTGCCCCACCATATCTGGTTTAGTTTGGATTTTCTAGTTAGTTCCTCTTACATCTGTGCCTCTCCCTTCCTTCGGGGCTGTCTTTCACTCCTCAACCCCTCAAGCCCACTGATAATTCTTTGTGTCACAATTTCAAGGTTCTCTCTTTACAGTACCTCTCGCCTCACTAATCCACAATTGATAGATGACCTATCTTCCTCCAAAGAATCTACTTCTTACACATGGTCAGTGTAAGTGATGACAAATTTGGGTTGATTGATGAAAACTTGAGTATTGCAAATAAAGTGATAAAGAACACATGTACACTGAGAAGGTGGAATGTTAGCGATTATACTTTTAGGCCATTTAAGAAGTTACTCTAGGTTAAGCCTAGAATATAACCCACAGCAATATAAAATTTAAAAATGGACAAACTGAATACATGAGAACTAGAAAAGTATTTGAACTTTCTATGCCTATTAGGATCTGAGTCTTGTGCTGGTTCTCCAGGAACCCATAGCTGATGCAAGACAGTCAAGTGCAAGAGGTGGAAAGAGCTAGTGAGCATATGATGTGATTGTGTTTGATGGGCATACAGTCACCTGCTGTGAGACATGGGCAAGGAGCCCACTCCAACATGAGCTAGTTGGGAAAGGCTTCCGGCAGAAGGCCAAGTTGAAGCGGACAACAAGAGATTAAGCCTTCCAGGGACAGAAAATGCCATGTGTGAAGGAGACAGAGGATGCTAGTTTGTAGAATTGCCAGTCACTGATTTTGGCCAGAACATAGATTGTGTTAAGGGGCTGAAGTATTTGACTGCCTTTGTACCAAATACTTCCCCTCCCTCCATCTCCCTATACCTTACAACTGCCAAATCAGCAGATCTCTCAGAAATATAAACACCCATGGGAAGGTTAATATGGCATTGTAGGTTGACCAGATGGGTCTCATCATCCAACCCAGGTAAAGTCAGCCATATGACAGCAGTAGGCACCTTGATCCAGAGATAAGTTGTCTATGATGGAAGGCATTCTGTGGGTTCAGCCAATGATAACCTTCATAGATTAAGTCAAGGACCTAAAAGAAGCTAGAAGAGGTTGGGTGGGGACAACTATACTTGCTAACAAGGCTTTCCAGAAAGTATACTAATGAAGACAGAAACAAATCTATTTTCAACTAATCAATTAATTTTTGTAAACAAGGACAATAGCAGTGCTGCTTTCAACTTTTAGGTTGAAGTGATTCTTTTGCCTCAGCCTCCTCATTATCTGGGACTATTGGTGTGTATGTACCACCAGACCCAACTTTCTGCCATCTTATTGTGGTGGTCAAGCTATTGATGCTTTTGTTCAGATACAGCATAATGTGGATAAAAATGGTGTCTTAGTTTGGGTTTCTATTCCTGTGAAGAGACACCATGATCACAGCAATTCTTACAAAGGAAAACATCTAATTGGGGCTAGCTTACAGTTTCAGTGGTTTAGTCCGTTATCATCATGGCAGAAAACATGGTATCATGCAGGGAGACTTGGTGCTGGCAAAGGAACTGAGAGTTCTACATCTTGATCCACAGGCAGTGGAAGGAGACTGTGCCATACTGGGCATAGCTTGAGCCTATGAGATCATCCCCACAGTGACACACTTCCTCCAGCAAGGCCACACCTTCCAATAGTGCCAGTCCCTCTGAGCCATGTCTTCAAGCACATGAGTGTATGGGGTCTAGACCTATTCAAACCACCACAGATGGTGTGAAGGCTGTGATTGCGTAGGACTTGAGAATCTAAGTTCCATCACCTCGACCTTCTCTCCAGTGAACCAGTAACAAACACACATAGATTGTAGGAATGATCCTTTCTGTAAGTTGGCTCTTGTATTGAGAAAGACTGAAAAACTTTACCACTAAAATATAAATGTGCATTTTTAAAATAATGACATCGAAGTTGATATAAGTAAAGTATAATCTTAAGAGTGACCTGAGATTCTACAAAGATCTAACTAAAGTGTCTGCTGCCAGGTCACCAAAAGAATACTAATGGGCCCCAGCAGAGTTCTAGAATCAGGCTTGTGGCAGAGATGCTTATGTTGCTGTCAGCAGTGTAAACATACTTCCTTGTACTCATTTTCTCTTAGTGTCATTTCACATTTCTGTTTCCCTGACATTATTCTTATATTTAATGTAAGTAACAATGTCATGTCACATGAGTATGCAAGGGAAATGTTTGTGCATTTTGCTCTTCATTCAAATATTCTAGGTATCATTTTAGGCACACAGGTGCAATCTTTGTAGTAGTGATAGAAATGGAAATAGTAATAATAATAATAAATGTAAATGGAAATAGTAATAATAATAATAAATGTAATTGTTTGCAAGGAGCATGATTTCATGCTCTTTTAAACACGAGTTTTTATTATATAATGCACTGACATAAAGGATATTTTAGAATGAATAAAGTATCAAGTGGTCTTGGGATATTCTTTTATAAATTATTTTTAAAAGTTAAAATAAATTATATCATTCCCTTCTTCTCTTTTCTCCTTTCAATACCTCCTATGTATACCCCCCATTCCCCTCAATTGCTTCCTAATTCATGGTTTCTTTTTCTTTTCTTTATTTTTTTATACATTCCAACTTCAGTTTACCCTCCCTCCTCTCCACAGAGTCCCTTCCCCCTACCTCCCCTCTACACCCTGACCCCGCCCCATCCACTCTTTCTACCTTTCCAGAAGAGGGCAGGCCTCTCATGGATATTAACCAAACATGGCTTACCAAGTTACTGCAAGACTAGATACCTTCCTTGTATTAAGGGTGGACAAGGCAACCTAGTAGGGGGAAAAGGAACCCAAAAGCAAGCAAAGGAGTCAGAGATAACCCCTGTTCCCACTGTTAGGAGTCCCACAAGAAGACCAAGCTACATAACTGTGACTTGAGTTGGTGTCCCAATCCCTCCACTGGAAGGAAATCTTACCTGAGTATAGAAGGTGGCCAATTCAGGCTCCCTATCTCCCATTAGCTAAGGTCACCCTCTTAGGCTCCTGGGAGTTTTCATTACACTACGTTTTTAGCTGGTCCCTAAAACACTCCCAAATCCAGTTATCTCTCCCAGCACTCTCTTCCTCTATCTACCCCAACCCAAACCTTTATGTTCCCATCCCCCACTCACCAGTCCACCAGCAATGTCTATTCTGTTTCCTCTTCCCAGAGAGATCCACACCTCCTGCTTGCACCCTCCTTGTTACTTAGTTTCTCTGGGTCTGTGGATTGCAGCATGGCTTTCCTTTCCTTTACTGCTAATAGCCACTTGTGAGTGAGTACATACCATGTTCTTCCTTTTGAGTCTGGGCTGCTTCACTCAGGAAGATTTGCTGTTGTTGTTCCATCCATTTGCCTGCATATTTCATGACATCTTTGTTTTTAACAGCTGAGAAATATTCCATTGTGTACCATACTGGTGCATGTAGGTAGATTTGCTGAAGAAGGAGGAGGCAGGAGGATCAATGACTTCTTAAAGTATTTTTATTTACATCCATATTGGCACAGAAGTTTTGATTTTTTTTTTTTTTACACTGAACAAAATCCTGCATTAGTACCTCATCAGCCCTGGAGTGGAGTGGAAACTTTCTTGAAAGGGGCTTGTTTCCCAGGGACTTTGGTGCTACAGACCACCTGGTGGGAGAAACCTGCTTACACAAACCTCAGGCTCATATCCTACCATCTTGGATGTAGTAGTTGCTCCTTCTCCATTTAATATGTTGTTTCAGATCAGCATCCCACTTTCTGTAAAAGGAAGAATAATTTTGGAGTCTATTGAAGGGATGTGCTACTTACATGACAAAGGTGTGATACACAAGGACCTGAAGCCTGAAAATATCCTTGTTGACCGTGACTTTCACATCAAGGTAATTGACAACCTATTCTTGGAGAAAACTGAGTAATTGTAGCTTGAAAATCCACTGGAAATCCATTCCTGTAGGTGAGTCAGATAAAGGAGGACCTAGCTCAACACTGAGCAGGATGCTGCTGCTGCAAGGCTGCCATGGTATGAAAGGGCAGGTGCAGGCTTGATTGGATTGGGAGATAACTAAAGATACAGTGATGAAAAAAATCTCATCCCTGGTTCCTGGGTTTTGTTTCCCTCTGGATAGACTTGGACATGGAAGCACTCAAGGGTTGCTGTCTTCTCTCTGGAATGGGCTGTCTGCTCATCATTTTTTTTTTTTTCCAGGAAATCTTGTCACTAAGACTTCTCTACTCTGGAGCTAAAGAGAGAATGAACATATTTTTAGAAGTCAGAAATGGCTTCAGAGTCACAACAGCAGTAAATCAGCCATTTTGGCCTCAGAATCCTCTATTTTGCGTACCTAGGAGTCTAATTTAGCTATTCTAGCACATCTGAAGTCTTGGGCTTAGTTCTGACACCCCAAAACAAAGACCTCTGCTTTGACCTCTTGTTTACTTTTATTTTCATTTAAAACATCAATTCCCTTTGAAAACTTGTTTCGTTAAACAAAGGTAATAAGAAAAAGGACACACATCTTTTACCTATTCAGGGGCTGCATTTAGGTAAGGGAAGCACCAGCAAACACATGTGATTAGTCTTGGCAGCTAGAATCCAAGCTGGAGATTGAAAGGGGGTAAGATAGCTCAGGGACAAAGTCCTGAGTGTCATCCCAAGAGCTACACTAGCAAGAAACAAAAAGAACCTGAAAATGTGTAGCACTGGGTAAGAACCAGGACCAGCCTCTAAGATCTTCATCAGACACCATTTGTGTCTCAGTCGGTTATTAATCCCAGTGTTTTTTAAGACTATTCATTCTTAATCAATTAATAACTTACCTTTTACATTCTGGGTTAAAAATCTATGAATGTCAGGTAAGTGTGTGCTCTAGCTCCTCCCCAAATGCTTCTTAGAGACAGAAGGGGAAACTGTCCTGCTCTGCCATTTCTCCCTGCCACTTTCTTCTTTACTGTCTTACTTTGTTATCTTTCTCTGCCTTTATGTGTGTTTCGATTTCTTTCTCTCCGTCCTGTTTTCTCTTAGGTTCAGGCTGCCAACTCAAAACAAATAGCAGCAACAGTCTCACCCTTGGGGTGTCTTTGGGATGCTTGGAAACACAGCCATGGTCCTCTGGATGCTAATGGGCAATAGAAGGTGTTAACACAGCCATGGTCCTCTGGATACTATTAGGCAAATAGAAGGAGTTAACAGCTGTGATCCTCTGGATGCTACTGGGTACATAGAAGGTATTAACACAGCATGGTCTTGTGGATGCTGCTTGGCATATAGAAGGTGTGGTAACCAGTCTCCCATCTCCCCCAGAAAAAAGAAAAAAAAAATGAAAAGTTAGCACAAACATGGTTTTGCTGTCTTGTCCCCAGTCTTCTTACTGAATTAGATGTGAAGGGCCTGGCAAGATGGCTCAGCTAGTAAAGGTACTCGCTGCTGAGCCTGAAAACCTGAGTTCAAGGCCTAGTAAATAAAGAGAAAGGACTTCTGCAAGATGTCCTCTGACTTCTATACATGTTGGCATGCATGCCCCTCATCCATAAATGTTAAAAAAAAAAAAAAAAAAACTTTGTAAATAATTGAGATGCCGGAATTTTACATGAACATTCTGAGTCTATTGAGAAGTAACTATTCTAGATAGCCCAGTGCAACCATTAGAAAATTGACTGTGCCATACGTGTACTGAATAGTCCCCAGATTTTATTTCATAAATATCAAGCTTAATTTCCTGGTACCCTTCATGCAGTAAATGCTGTTGGCCCTACCTCTTTTGCAGATAGCTGATCTGGGTGTGGCTTCCTTTAAGACATGGAGCATACTGACTAAAGAGAAGCACAACAAACAGAGGGAAATGCATATCACCTCTAAGAAGAATGGAGGCACCCTCCACTACATGGCACCTGAACACCTGAATGACATCAATGCAAAGCCCACAGAGAAGTCAGATGTGTACAGTTTTGGCATTGTACTTTGGGCGATATTTGCAAATAAGGAGCCCTATGAGAGTAAGACATTTATTTATAGATGTGGGATTTTGATAGAAATCAAAATGTTACCTGAGGGTTGGTGAGATGACTCAGCATGTAAAAGCACCACCAACCCTGACAATCCCCCTCCCTCTCTCACTCCTTTCCCCCCCTCATTTCCTCTCTCCCTCCCTCCTCCCCCTCCCTCCCTCCTTCCTTCACTCCTTCCCCCCCCATCCCCTTTTTCCCCCCTCATTCCCTTTCTCCCCCCTCCCTTTCTCCCTCCCTCCCTCCTCACTCCCCCCCCATACACACACACATACACAATGAGTGCCTGGATGTACTCAGGAGACTCTTGTTTATAATTAGTCATCCCAGTTGAGGATTAACTCATTGGTTGGATAGATCCTTTTATAATATAGCTTAGCTTGGGAGTTGCTGTAAAACTACAGGATTCTTCCTGGAATAGAGATGGCCTTTCATACTATCGGGCATATATCGCATACTTGATTCTTTTTGTCAGTGAGCTTTATTCATTACCTACTGTGGGCAGTTCAGTCAGTTGGGAATGTAAAGATGAGTAAGTCATTGTGAAGGGGCACAGCCATCCTTGGGTTTGGTTAAGCATGGAAAGGAATGGCTCCTTTCTTATCAACACCAGTAGATTGGGGATCATCATCTCTGCTGATGCCTCTTAAATCTCAGTCTCTGACCATGACCAAGACATCCATGAGACTGTTAGACCCAACACATATACCTCAGGAACCTCCTTTGCAAAGAAGTACCCCCAACAAGCTCCCAAGTTTATCACCGCTCCTCTGTAGCTCCCTGTGGTCAGCACAATAAGCAACTTCAGCATCACCTGAGACTCAACATTGTCCCCCTCTCCCACATCCAGTAAGACCTCAAAAGCTGAATTCAGCAACTAGGGATAGAGCTTGGTGTTATAGCACTTGTCTAGCATCTGTAGAGCCCTGGTTTCAAGCTCTAGCACTGCCTGAAAAACAAACATGAATTCTATGACCACCCCTCTGTCTCCACCAGCTTCCTTATTTCTGCTGCAGGATCCTTGAGCCTTCCATGATCAGAAAGCAGCCAAGATGGTCAGTCACCTTAAAAGGCAGACTGGGCAGGATAAAGAGCTGGTTCCGTAGTTAAGAGAACTAGTTACTCTTCCAGAGGACCCAGCTTTGATTTCTGGCACCCACATGGCTGCTCACAACTCTCTGTAATTCCAGTCCCAGGGTATCTGACACTCTCTTCTGGCTCTGTGGGCATTGCATACATGTGTTACACAGACATAGTACAGGCAAAACACCCATATACATAAAATAAAAATCAAGGAAATAAAAATGTTTGAAGGCAGAGAAGACCATCTTGGCTATTTAAAATCCTTCAAAGATTACCATACCCTTCAGGTTTCTTAGTGTAAAGTGTGAGGCCCTTTCTGGTTCTACCTTGGCTTCTTTCCACCCTCCTCTCTGTCTCTCCCTGACCTAAGTGTGTCCACTTACACTGGGCACAGGTCACTGATATGATTTCTGTCATTCCCATCCTATTGAGTTTCCTGCTGCCCTAGCTTGGAGTCTCCTCAGGAGCCCTCCTTCCTGGTCCTTTACCTTGATAGCTCCTCATTTTTCTGACTCAGGAAAATCTTCTCAGACCTTCTGTTCTCCACATAATTGTGTTTCCCCTCATATTTGCTACTAGAGTGTCAGCCATCAGTGTGTATTTTAAGTCACTCTCATTAAACTGAGTTTCTTAAAGCCCAGACCATCCTGCTTTAGCCTCTGTATTGAACTCTGGGGTATGCCCTGGCTTTACCCATGCATTTTGTTTGTTCTGTGAAAAAGTGGCATGGTTTTGAATTTTGTCTCTCAACTACAAAAGTCAAAACCTCATTCTGTCCCAAGGCCGTTGCTCTATGGGGTGAGACAGCCATGGGAAAAGTATACACCAGGTTGAGACAAAGTGGTGGTAGGTATTGGGTAGGTATTGTCTGTGTCCTGTAACCTTCCTGCTTGAGAGTAGAGTATGACTGAGAGCCCCAACTGAATCTCATCCCTCCTTGCAGATGCCATCTGTGCCGAGCAGCTCTTGATTTGCGTAAACTCTGGGAACAGGCCAAATGTGGAGGACATCATTGAACACTGCCCAAGGGAGATCATCAGCCTCATGGAGCGGTGTTGGCAAGCAGACCCAGAGGACCGGCCAACATTTCCTAGTAAGAGCTGGTTTTGTGCCTTTTTAGGATGCATCCCACGTGGTGACACTTAAGTAAAGTGACACCGGTAGTTTAGTTACTTTTTCTGTTGCTGTGACAAAATACAGGACAAAAGCAACTTGAGAGAAAGGTTTATTTTGACTTAGTACAGTCTGCCATGGTGGCAGGTCATGGCAGCAGGAGTATGAGGCAGCTGGCCATGTTGCATCTAGAGTAGAAAAAGAGAGAAATAGATGTTGGCAGTCACTTTACTTTCCCAGCCCATGGGATAGACTCCCCACATTCAAGATGGGTCTTCTCTGCATAATAACCTCACGGCCAAACCTAGAACTGTGTTTCCTAGAATCACCTAGAAGTGTGGCCCTAAATCCAGTCAAGCTGATAAGGAAAATCAGTCACCATAACTGGGAACACGCTTTGAGTATCACTTTACATGTGGCTTCAAACTGACTGGACACATTTCAAGCATCTTGTCAGTGAAAAGGTACTACCCTTCCCCACAGCACGGCATCTTCATTTCCTTCTTTAGTTTGGGGATCTGCGTTTTTATTGTTTTGAAGTGTATATAAGGCATTCCATTTTAGCTGTTGTAAGTGGTATGACATCCATTTCTATTTTTCAACAACATGCATCACCATCCATCTCCAGAACTCCTGGATCCAGAGCACAACTCTGTACTCAGGAAGCATTACTTCACTTTCCCTTTTCTCCTGTCCAGCCTTAGCAGTCACCATTCTATTGAATTTGACTGCCCCAAGTGTCTCATAGAAGCAAAAGTCACACAGTACTTCTGTTGCATGTTTGTCTTGTTTTACTGAGTACAGTGTCTATACGGTTCATCCATGCTATAGAATGTGCCAGAATTTCCTTTTTATTGCTGAATAATATTCCGTTCTGTAGATAATTTTTGTTTGTGCATTCATCTGTTTGTTGGTAAGGTTTGGCCTTACTGTTTCTGGTTTCTTTGACTTATTTTTCCTCCCCTTGGTTAGCATCTTCTTGGTACCCTTAGAAATGTATTCTGCCATTAAGGTTGGCCCTGTAATTGAGGAAAATGAAGGCGATACAGTCTTTGGCCCATTTTTACACCTGTCCCATCCCTTAGATTACCTACGGTGTGTAAAGTGGGCCAAAAAGAGAGGACCGGAGATACAATAGGAGGAAGTTGGCAAGCCACAGAGCATCATGCTATTGTATTTCTGTGAGAAAGCAGAACTGGAGTCCCACCCACTGCTACTGTGTAGGCCAGGATAGCCTCAAAGTCACAGAGATCCCCTGCCTCTGCCTCCTGGTTACTGGTATTAAAGGAGTGCTAAAGCCCACCTCTTAAAGATCCCACAACTCCTGACAGTGCTGCGGGCTGAAGACCAAGCCAAGCATTGGGGGTCATTCAGGATTCAAACTGTAGCATTGTCCTGCCTTTCTGTGGGCTCTTGAACTTGTTTTAGGATTCTAGTTTGATTCATCTGTAGTGTTTGGTTTTCATGGACATTCTAGGCATTACATTATCCATATGTCATTTAATCATATGGTTTGTTTTTCCAGTTTGCCATTTTAGTACTTTGAGTGATATATGGAAACCTTTGCTTTCTCCTTAAGTATTTCCCCTTTATACATGTAGGGTACATCAGTGTTGTGGTTTTGCTTCAGTCTTCATTGTTAAAGAAACTCAAAACCTTCTGTTTTTATTTTCCATTGTTTTAATTGCCATGTGTCATTTTTCTGATACTACACATATTTACACTTCTGTGCTCTCATGTGACTATCACCCACATTTGTACACATAGGATACCCAGGGTTCTACTCACTAACTACAAGTCTGGGTGTATATACCCCATGTCAGGTCTGGTAATAGAAAGATTTATCTGTCTCAAGAAATATTGCACTTAGATATAGCTATGTGTTGTAGAATATTCAATTCAGAAACAACCAGATAAAAGAGGTATATAGGCAGTATATTCAGGTTGGGGCTGCTGAGCCTCCAAGCCCTCTGCAGGAGTGCCTCCCACTGAACAGTTCTTTTGTTCACCAACCCAGGAACTCTTTGAACCCCGGTATTTATGGGCCTGTGTAGGAGTTTTATTATATGGACACAGGTTGAACAAATCATTGGTCATTAGTGATTAAACTTAATCTCTATTATTCCTCTCCCCAGAGGCCACTGGGTGCTGCCCAGTTTTCCAGATCTCATCAGTGGCTTGGCTTTTCTAGTGACCATCCCCTGTTCTGAGGCTGTCTACTCCCCCTGCATCTTCTTAAATGATACATTCTTTACAATAGGAGACTCAGGGATTTTAAAAGCTGTCTGCATTAAACAAGCAGGACAAAGGCCAGGGCTGCAGTTGAGAAATCATGCCGTGGTGTGTGTGTGTGTGTGTGTGTGTGTGTGTGTGTGTGTGTGTGTGTGTGTGTACATGCTGAACATCAACCAAGGGCCTCAAGCATGCTCAGCTCAGCTGACCTGTGCTTCCAACAATCTTCTTTTCCTTTGTTAAGACTCTGTTCTTCATTTGTTTCCAGCAGGGTTATATTTCACTGAGTCACTAAGCTGTTTTAATGTCATTGACAGATAATGCCAGTGTTTCTGTTATCTCAATGTTGACATCCGTCTTAGTCCTTTTGTCAGCTACTGTAGAATCTTCCTGGTTTAGTGTAGGGAGTATTTTTTTCTGTTAAAACTAACGCACCTTCTATCTTTGGTATGCCTCCTGTTAATGATGTCTTCTGATGCTACTCTAGCAGGGAGAACAGTGACTAGCACCTAGCTAATTCAAAGTGAAGGTCCAAGGTCCCACTCATCCCCATCAATGATGGAGGCAAGGACTCTGGTGCTGCTGGTCTGAGTTAGAGGTAAAACAGAGTCCATGAAGTTCCCATTGCCACTGAAGTGGAGAGCCCTCATAACCACTGGGAAGTGATAAATGCCCTTGCTGTCTCTACAAGGCTTTCTGGGACATGTTGCCAATGCAGAGAAAGGGAGTATCTTAATACTTCTGGGTGGGTACCAGGCTCTTCCCATGACCTGCTGATGATATGGGATTGGAAAAGCTTATTACCAGCTTCAGGCAGGAAAGTTCTAGCTTCCTCTTTGATCTCTTATATCATCTGGGAAAGCCTTTCACCAGGTTGGAAGTTGCCTTAGTTAATGCCTTATTGCTGTGATAAGGTACCAGAACCAAGGCAAATTATAGGAAAAGAAAAAAAAAAAAAAAAAAAAAAAAAGAGTTTGTTGTCTAGGACTTCCATGGCAAAGAGCATGCCTGCAGTCAGGCAGCCAGACCGGCATGGTGCTGGAGCATTAAAAGAGCTCACTCTTGAGACACAGCCATAAAGGAAAGAGAGTTAACTGAGAATGGCTTGGGCTTTTGAAACCTCAAAAGCCTGCCCCCACCCCCCCATACCTCCTCCAACAAGGCCACACCATACAATCCCACCAGCTGAGGACTAAGCATTCAAATATGTGAGCCTATAGGGGCTATTCTCATTCAAACCACCATGGACATCTAGGCTGCCCACCGAGTTTGTGGGAATAGGGTGAAATCGCGGTTATTTTCTGTGGTGTTAGCTGGTTAGCAGAGTGATCCCCGACCAAAGGTTTTGTGTGCTGGTAGGCTGCCCCATGCTTCGTCCCCTGGCTAGAAAGAACAGGCTTTTGTCATTGTTTTGCTGCTCTCTGTGCCTGATAATATTGCTGGGTTGCTAGCTTTTCAGATTTAAGTATGGGATGTATGAGGCAAAGAAAAAACACAGTAAGCTTACTGTCATGTGTTTTCACAGACCCTAAGGTCCAAGCTACCTTTCTTTTTTCCAGGTATCCATATGCTTGTTACATATATAATACCTAGAATGTTTTATTGTACTTTGCAGGAGACATAGGATTAGTCTATTTTCCTAGAACTGAAGATTTCCTGATTTCTTTTGATAAGGTAGGACCTCACTCTGTAGTGTAGGCTAGCTTGGAACCCACTATATAACCTAGCCTAACCTTGAACTTGTGACAGTCCCTCTGTCTTAGCCTTGCAAATTCTGGGATTACATGCATTATTCACCATGTCTAGCAATACCCCCACCTCTACTCTAGTAGCTCTTTAGTGCCAGAGAGACAGAAAATGTGGAGTTCAGTCATCCTTATTCACTTGGAGATTACGCCACATCACAAGACTTTGTGCTATGGCCAGAGCAAGGCACACTGTTCTGCTGGAACCAGGGATTGCAAGTGTTAGCCCTATTCTGTCTACTTGGCTTTGAGCTCTGGTCCCTTCATCAAAGTCAATGATTTGGAGCTGCAAACTTTATTTCATTGCTTTGTCTACACACTGTGGTAAGTGACTTAAAAATAATAGATTATTAATATTTAACTTTTTTCATTAAGAAATTTAGGGGTCTGGGAAGATGGCCCTGTTGGTAAACTGTCTTGCAAGCAGGAGGCCTTGAGTTTGATCCCCACATAAAAAAAGGCCAGTTGTAATGATAAGTGCTTGTGATTCCAGTCCTGGGGAGGGGGAGACAAGCAGATCCTGAAGCTCACTGGCCAAGTAGACTAGCCTTGGCAAGGTCCAGGCCAGCAAGAGACCCTGTCTCAAAAAGCAAGGTGGATTGCAGCTGAGGAACAGCTAAGGTCATCTTTGGACCTCCACACATATGCACAAGATAAGAAATTTAAAGGATTGTTTTTTCATACAGGCATTGAAGAAGAATTTAGGCCTTTTTACTTAAGTCAATTTGAAGAATATGTAGAAGAGGATGTGGCAAGTTTAAAGGTGAGTGATACAGCAAGAGCCAAGAACAGCAGCGTACCGAAATGCATTACCAAGCATGGAAGCAGAAGCAATGCAATTTGTTACTGAGATTTGAAGTAAGCTTGCTTAGGGAACACAGAAAACAAAATCAGCAATTGTATGAAGTATCATGTTAGCAGTTGAGCCCGTTTCTCCATTGAAATGTGTGAAGCTAGAGGGAAGTATATGTACAAAATACAAAAATAAAACAAAAACAAAAAAAAACCAGAAAAGACACCCAACATCAAAGAGACTAGAAACTATTACAAGTGGGTCAATCATTCTGAGGAATTTCTTTAAACCTCCCTGGGGATATGACCGAGTGTTAGATCATGCATGAGGCTTTGAGTTCTGTTGCCAGTACCAAAAAAACAAGCAAATAACCACACATCCAAAAAAAACCAACAACAACAACAAAAAATGCCAAATAGAAAGAGAACAAAAACATAGAAAGGAATAAAAATGCTAACCCACAAGCTAATGCTGAGGGAGGAGTCATGGAGAAGCAAGTTAACACTGCTGGGAACAGTCACTTGAGAACCACATACATGCTGTCAAGAAAGGCTAGTTCCTCTATGGACTTCCTCTGTGGTAAGTTCTCAGTGGCAGCAGCATGCAGCATCTAAGGCTGAAGTAAGGAGTTTGGTATCTGGACTAAGAGAGGTATATTAAAGTCCAGTTTCCGAAAGCCAGCCCGCTAAGAGGAACAGAAACCTGCATACACATATGTACACACACACAGACTCCTTAGTCATCACTGCTGCCATAACTGCCTTAGGATCTTACACCCATAGATGCAAAAACGAAACTTCAATAAATAAACCAAGCAAGCAAACTGATTTTCAAGGAAGTAAGTAGGTGGGTGGGTAGGAGGTAGGTAGATAAACTGGCAGAAATTTACAGACTTTGTAGGGATTCTTACCCTGTAAAAGGAATATACAGTAATAGGATCAATACTGCGGCCAGCCTGATCTGTGTAAGTGAATTCCAAAACAACCTAGGGCTACATAGTAAGACCCTGACTCAAACCAAACAAACATAAAGCTACATTTCATGATAAATAAAAGCAATATTTAAAGCGCTACAAGGTGTGGACATACTAATGTGCTGTGGCATTCCTCCCCAAATCAAGCATTTATTTTTCAGTGAATAGTTTTGAACGGCTTACTGATGTGAACATTCTGTTAAGAGCAAAAATACAAGCGTAAGTAGAAAAAAAATTGTAAAGGAAAGTTTACAAAATGTTAACCTTGTTCCTTTGGTAGGATTTTGAAAAATATAATTTCCTACATTTTCAAATTTCTTTAATAAAAATGTTATTTAACATATGGAAGAAAAATTTCTCATCCGCACCCCCCCCCCAACACACCCTGATCCTGAGGATTGATTTTGTCATCAATGCTAGGCAAGTACTGTATGACTGAGCCGTACCTCCACCCCTATTTTCTATTTATTGTGATAAGACAGACTTTTCTAGCCATTATTAAGTGTACAGTTCAGGGTTGCACAGTCATCACCACTTTCTACTTCTAGAATTTTATCAACACAAACACAAACTCTACTTACTAAATAGTAAATCCCTATTTCTTCTCCCCCAGTGGTCTTTATTTTCTGTCTCTGAATTTACCTGTTCTAGGTAGCCCGTGGGAATAAAGCCAAGTGGTGTTTTTCCATTTGTAGAAGCATTTTGCTTACCATGTCATTCATTTTGTTGCTGACTAATATCCCACTGTGTGTAGGATACCATGTTCGTCTGTGTAGTATCTGTTGATAGATGTCATAGTTGTTCATCCCTGTGAGCTGTTGTTGAATGATGCTGTGGAAACAGTGGTGTACAGTTTTTTGTTCTGAGCATGTGCTTTCAGTTCTTTGTGATATTTACTTAGGAATGAGATAGCTAGGCCATATAGACATCTTGTCTCACTTTTTAGGAACCTTTGCACCATTGTCCACGGCATCTGAACCGTCTCCACATTCTCTACCAGCACTGTACAAGAGTTCAGTTGTGATAGCCTCACAAACATGCCGTTTTTATGTTGTTCTGTTCAACATGAAGTGGCATTTTCTGGCAAGTGGCATTTTCTGGCGAATGTCTTTCCTGTTTTAGTGCTTGTTCCCATTAACTTTCTTCTTTGGAGAACCATCAATTCAGTTTTTCCACATTGAGGGTGTTTGTGTTTTGTTTTGTTTTTTATTTTTTATAATATTAAACCAAAGAGCCAAAGAATATCTCCAACTCATGATCCACCTGACTGCACCCCATGTGCTGGGGTTATAGACATGTGCCACCACCATGCCGTGCTAAAAGAATGTTGTGCTTGGGATCCAACCAGGACTTTACCCTGCTGGGCAGTGTTCTACTATTGCATTATATCCCCAGCCCTCCATTCGCTGGTTTCTAACTTGGGTTATTTGTTGGGGTAAAATGATAGTGGTAGTTGTTGTTGTAGATGTTCGTTATATAAAGAATATTCATCTCTTATCAAATATATATAGTTTACAAATATTTTCCCCATCCTGTGGGTTGCCTTTTCACTCTTTTGATGGTTTCTTCTGATGCACATACTCTGATTGTGATGTGGTGAAATTTGATTTGATTGCATGGGAGTTGTTAGATGTGCGTTTTGGGTCATCATCAGGAAACAGTTGCAAGGACCAGAGCCAATATCATTTCCACCTATACTTTCTTCTTCTAAGAGTCTTACAGTTTCAGCACTTGAATTTGGGTCACTGATGTTTGTTGAGTTACTTTTTGTATTTGGTAAGGATCCATCTTCATTCTGTATATGTGTATATTCAGTTTTCCCTGTCTGGATGCTCCGGGAGCTCCCTGGTCAAACATCAGTTGACCATGTAATGGGCATGGGAGAGTATTTCTGGACTCTATTCTGCTCCTTTGATCTGTGTATCTTTTATGTAACTCATCATTTTGATCTCTGTAGCTTTGTGGTAACTTGAGATTAGGAAATGTAAGTCTTCCAGTTAACTATGTTAATTTGACATATCATTTTATCTGGAAAAAAATATTCAACTTGGGAAAAAAGGTTACTGCTTATTATATTTGTATGAAATGTCTTGGTGGTGTGAAGAGATTGATTCTTTTCAGAATAACTTTCTGCTGATTGCCAAGATATGTGTGTATATCTTCTCAATTACAGAAAAAGTATCCAGATCAAAGTACGGTTTTGAAGAGGATGTATTCTCTCCAGTATGATTGTGTGCCCTTACCTCCAAGCAGGTCAAATTCAGGTAATGTTTCCATTCATTCATTTGCTTACTCATTCATTCATTTTAGCCCCTGAAATACTTCTGAAAACCATAAGGAAATTGAACGAAATTGTAAGTTCAGACAGCTGCCTTAAAAGAATTAATATATGTTCTAGAATCTAGTTATATACCTTGGAAATATTTCTCAGCTATGTGTTCACCAAAATCACAGTGTTTTGATGCAAACAATCTGATGTGTCTCACAGGAAGACAGTGACAGTTCAGGAAGAAGTTGGGGACACATGTGAGTGCAGAGTCCTTGACATCAGAGCACTGCAGAAAGTTGGTCTCAGATTCACACAAGGGTGCTTTTTTTATGACAAAAGGGAAGACATCATGTGAGATAACATCTGGAGCAAATTTCCTAACCTCTTCCAAACCTCATCAAGCCATGGATATAATGACCTTCACTACCACAAGCTTTATGTGTGTTTTTGTGTGTGTGTGCGTGATTAGTTATAATCCATTATATAATCATACATGTATATGATTCATTATATAAACATACATGTGATTTATTATATAATCATATAATGTGATCTCTTTGTGTGTGTGAGATTTGTTATAATTCATTATATAATCACATATATGTACGATTATTATGTAAACATATATGTGATTTATTTGTGTGTGTACATGCCTGAGTCTGTGCACCACATATGAGTAGTACCCATGGCAGCCGAAAGGGGGCATCAGATCCCCTGGAACTGGAGTTACAGGTTGTTATGAGCCACCTGACATGGGTCCTGAACTGAGAACTGAACCTAAGTGCTCAGCAAGAACAGCAAGTACCCTTAACCACTGCACCATCTCTCCAGCCTTCCTACAGGCTTTTAAAGAACAAGGGAGCACTAGGGTGTACTAAACCTATAGGGAAGTATTGGCTCATTATATGCTTTTCATGATTCTTATTTCCAGCATGTCACTCAAGGACAGGTTCATGGAAATGTTCAAGTTTTATTTTGCTTTTTATTTTGCTCTTTTCTTCTCTGCTGCAGAACAGCCCGGTTCACTGCACAGCTCCCAGGGACTCCAGATGGGGCCTGTGGAGGAGTCCTGGTTTTCTGCCTGTCCAGAGCAGCCACAGGAAGAGAATGAGCGCAGTGTGCAAGCTAAACTTCAAGAGGAAGCTAGTTACCATGCTTTTGGAAGATTCACGGAGAAACAAGCAAAACCACAGCCCAAGCAGAATGTGGCTTACAGTAGAGAGGAAGAAAGGAAACGAAGGGTCTCCCATGACCCCTTTGCACAGCAGAGACCTCGTGAGAATGTTCAGAGTACAGGGGCTAAAGGTTTTTCTGACCCCAGTACCGCCAGTCATGGAAATGCAGCACACCAGCTATCAGGGCCAGCTAGCCACGCACAAGTGCCATTCTGGAACAACGGATTATATAATCAGCCTGGGTTTGGAACTTCAGGTACAGGAGTTTGGTATGGGCCAAATCCAAGCCAAATGTATAATACTTACAAAACTCCCGTACCTGAGACCAATCTACCTGGAAGCATACCCACCATTCCATTCATCTCCTTGCCACTAGCAGGTAAATGATAGTTCCTATCTTCGATATACTATTTTCATTTCCAACAGTGTATGGGTGGGTGCTTCATTTTTCCACATTCTTGCCAGCACTGATATCTTTTCTTTTTTTAATGGTAGACTTCATAATGGTTATGAAGTCAAGTAGCCACATTATAACAAAATGTTAAGGGTGTCATAGTATAAGCAATTGAAGGTCTGTAATATAACCCTGCACCTTTACATGCTGTCTATTTTTATCTTGGGTTCATCCTCATGTACTTACCTATATCTTTTTCTTTATTCAGATGAGTCTATGAAATGTACTATATATAATAGTTCTGGTGTTCAGATTGGAAACTACAATTATATGGATCTTGGACTGAATTCACAACTACCAGACAATATGTGCAAAGAAGAGTCAGCTCCCAAGCACCAAGCCATCTTTGGTAAAATGCTTATTAAGGACAAGTGATGGGCTGAGGTGTAGCTGTGGTAGATTGCTTGCCTAGCGTGCATGAAACCTTGTATTGAATCCCCAGCATTGAAGGGTTTTTTTTAAAAATGTGTACAATGTCTTAGGACTTGGACACTTCTTGACCATTTTTACTTGCTGAGAAGAACATAATAGAATCTTAATTTTCTTTTATGATTCTCTCTGAAAGTCATCCCATGTCTCCTCAGTAATATGTGTATGACTGTTTTGTCTGCTTCATTACTTTCATGCCTGATGCCCACAGACATCAGAAGAGGGTATCAGATCCTTTTGAACAGGAGTTAGAGATAGATGTGAGTTGTTTAGATGCTAGAAACTGACCCAAGCAAGAACAACCAGTGCTCTTGTCTGCTGAGCCATCTACTCACGAATTTTTAACCCTTTAAACACTGGGATGATCACAGTGTCTAATTGGTGGTGGTGGTGTGAAATTTGTACTAGCCAACGTGTATTGAAAATGTAGGACACTAACTATGAATATTAAACTTGTCATCATCATTCATGACCCTGTTCAGACTTGGGGAAATAAGCTCCCTCTGCTCTGCACAGAAGACCAAGCCCTCCATAGTACTCTGTAATAAAAACAAGAGCTCCCATAGGTATCCGCAGCTTTCTACCATGAGGTGGTGATGCATGCCTGCAATCCCATCACTTGAAGTGGGAAGATGCTGAGTCCCAGGTCAGCAGGACCCTGTCTCAAAAGGGAACCAGAATTCAGCTTTCTGATTAACTTTGGAGGTTGGCATTTTGGATTTGTTTGCTTTGTCTCTATTAGGGGCATGTAATAGGCAAGGCTCTGTTTGCCCTGAGGCCTCTCCATCATCAGAGTGCAGAAGCAGCCACAGATAGTCTGCACATGGATGAGTATAGATATGGTCCTCAAAACCATTTACAAAAAGCAGGAGCCAAACTTGGCCCAGCAGGCGGATACTTTGCTGAACTACCCCATTGGAAGAGTGACCTTTAGATGCCTAGGAGATGGGTTCTTAGCTTTTGAGGAACTAAAGTGAACTTTATGACTCCTCTCCTGTTGTCAGAGTTGACATATTCTATACTGTGGTACTAATGGGAGCTGAGGAGGAGTTTGTTTTCTTCTTAGATTCAGCCTTCTAAGATGGAATGAAAACCAAACTGTTCTGACTTTTCCTTTTTCTTTCTGATTTCTTGTTTGATTTTTCAAGACAGTTTTCCCTAGATGTCCTAGAACTTTGTAGTCCAGGCTGACCCTGAACTCACAAAGATCCTCCTGCCTCTGCCTCCTGGGTGCTGAGATTAAAGGTGTGCACCACCATGCCTGTTATTTTTCTTTCTTGAGATAGCGTCTCTATATCTCTTCTCTCTTCCCCCCATATATACATACATATATATGTGTGCGTGTGTGTATGTATGTATGTACATATATAGGTATATATGTGTGTGTACATATGTATATTATGTGTCTATGTGTATACACACACACACACACACACACACACACACACACACACACCTCACTGTCTTGGATCTCACTGTGTAGACCAGGCTGACCTTAAATTCACTCGGTTTCAACTTCCTCTGCCTCCCAGATGCTGGGATTAAAGGCTGTACCACCACACTGGGCCATGTGTTCACTTTACTTATTTTTATGAAGGTCTAAAATGATGGTACTAGTGACAAAAGACAAATATATATATATACATATGCATGTATAGAGAAAGTATATATATATATGTATATATATATATATAGAGAGAAAGTATATATATAGAGAGAGAAATATATATGTATATAAAATAAAATGTCAACATTTGATGAAGGGAGGAAAAACCCTTGAAAAGTGTATTGCCTCATTGATTGAGAGATAAGGGAAGACATTGTAATTAAATGAGGGTTACACTTGGTCTTTGTGTCCTTATTAAGAGGAAAGTCCCAAAAGAAATGTCCCAAAGAAACAATAATCCACCATCCATTGCATCCAGTTAGTCTAACTAGAACATGACTGCAGGTAGAGGTTGAATAGAACAGCCATGTAGGGGATTTGTTCATGAAACTGTCAGTTATGGCTCAGATAGATGTACATATGCCAAGAAGGAAGGACACTCTATTGTAAGTCATACAAATACTCCTTTATGGCTGCAGTTGGGCCAAGTATTGTCCAATAAGTCAATAATAGTTATCAACAGGCATGGTGGTGCACACCTATAATCCCAGTCCTTGGGAGTCTACAGAGCAGGATTTCCTCAACAAAGTTATCTTTTTTACATCTCTCGGTACGCTTCACTTTCCTGGGCTGTTTCAGTATTGTAGACACTAGAATGTTCAGATGAAGTATAGACTGAGGCTTCTTCTCTTTTCTGTTTGACAGATAACATCAGTAGTCTGACTGATAAACACCTGAACCCTGTCAGGGAAAACCTGGGAAGGCAGTGGAAAAACTGTGCCCGAAAGCTGGGCTTCACAGAGTCTCAGATTGATGAAATTGACCACGACTATGAACGAGACGGGCTGAAAGAAAAGGTTTACCAGATGCTCCAGAAGTGGCTGATGCGGGAAGGCACCAAGGGGGCCACAGTGGGAAAGTTGGCCCGGGCACTTCAGCAGTGTGGCAGGATAGACCTGCTGAATCACTTGATACAAGCCAGCCAGAGCTAAGCTTGGGTGGGCTCTGACAGTGGGAACTAGACTGTTCCCCAGGTGCACAAGCCCTGTTTGCCCCCTGGCCTTCAGAACTCTAAGTCAGTACAAGCCCTGCATCTGCACAGTATCATGCATTTTGGAACTGGGGGGATGGGAAGAGAAGTCTGCAGCCCACAGTGGTTCTTCAGAAAGTACAAGCGTGGAGACTACCAAATGACCCAGGACAAGGCGGGGAGGGAGGTGTGTGCAGAAAAGAACCTAATAGGTTTTGAAAAAAGAAAAGAGGTGTTGGAGGAGAAAGGTGGTCTTTGTTCAGCTTGTGCCATAGTCTTCAGTTGTGCTATTTACTCAGTTTCCTGTGGTTTCATTTGGGTGAGGGAGGAAAAAAAAAAACAAAACAAAACAGAACAAAAACCATTCAAAGAATGTAAAATCTACCAGCTTCCTCTGAGTGCAGTAAAGTGCTGCCTTACATGACAGCCACAGTTCTTCCTAAAATTGTAGGATGTTAACTTTAGCATCCAATGCTGTGCTGTTGCCTTCAGCTTTAAGAATCATGTGCAATCCTAGTCTATCAAATTATCAGTTAATGAGGAAATGTTAAGGAGTGCTAAGAAGGAGGAAAAACTACAGGGCAGAGGGAGGTCATCAGATCCCAGCACTCAGCACTGAGAACTGCTGCTGATTGCAGCTGCTGTAAAATCTACTGTAAGCTTTGAAAGTTTCTCCTACATCCTGGTGCATCATGCCATTCCCCAGCCTGTGCACCACACAGAGGGAACTAGTGTGCAGCAAATACCGTGATATCAGGAAATGTCACCTCTTCCTCTGTAGATATGACCAAAGCCTTGGCACTACTCACTACTGTTTCCTCGGTTTACCCAGAAAAATGTACTGTGATGTGAATCAAAAAAGGACCGCTTCAGGGTCCGGTCATTGTGCCTTTAGCAAGCCCACGTGTGACCTGGGTATGAGTGACAGACTGAGGCTGCCCGAGCCAACCACAGCCACTGCTGGCACTTGCTGGTCAGGGGCATGCAGCAACAGTGCAGCTATCAGGAAAGATTCTGGTGTCCGGCTGACAACAGTGGATTATGATTCTGAATCTCCTGCAGCCTCAGAAGATGTGTACCACTCCTGGAATGGGCTGCAAAGCAGCTTTGGCCTCGTTGACATTTTGGCACGAGTTGGCACTTCATAGTCCACATTGGCCTACCCTGTACTCTGTAGAATATTGAGAAATGTGCCCAGCCTCTGTCTACAGGATGCCAATAGTACAAGACAACTCTACCCACCAGATGTGACAAAAATGTCTCTAGACAAGGCTACATGTCCTTTGGAGGGACCCTGCTGTAACTTTATATGTCTCAGTTGTTCTGTTAACACATGCTGGGTTCATGCCTTAACTGTATAGAGTATGCACATTGGAAGGGGATTGGGGCAGGGAAGGTTCCAGGCTTTCCTGGAGGAGCCTGTATAGTCTTTAAGTGCTTTCCTCTTAACCTATATTACAATGCTGTTTTAAGAAGTCAGAATTAACAAGTATTTTTAATGGAGTTTTGGGAAATGGCAAGGGAAGCCTGAGCTGGTTTTGGAATTGCAGTAGTGATCGGGGTCCTAGTGTTAAAATCATGTCTAATAAGTGTTCTGTAAGGAAAGAATTGTGGGCCCATTGAGAAGATAGGTACTTCAGGTCCAGGCCCAGATTGTGACCACAGACTTCCAGGTCTTTTCCATGGGTTACTGACCAGGCTCACCACTGAGATCCAGACAATTGCTTGGCACCTTGAGTTGTGGCTGAACCTGTGTGAGTTGAAGGACAGTCAACAAATGAAGCCTTATAACCTCATAGGCATGCTGGCCAGTCCCTTGTACAAGAAAGGCCTTGAACCAACTACTCTGAGCCAGTGGTTGGTAGGTTAGACCTTCATTGCTCTCTGTACCTCATTGGGTGCCCTGGAGGACTGATGACTTTGTAGTCAGTGGCCTGCTCCAAACAAGTGCATGGGATGTGGGAGGCTTTCTGGGAACCCAACACGGATTCAGAACACCTCTTTAAATCCAACTCCCAAGCTATGCAGAATGCTCCAGGGCATTGAGGGCCCTGTTCCCAGAGCACAGAGTTCTGTTTGGTTCTGTTTTTGATAAGATATCCTTTCTTTTTAAAAAAAGTGAAATAAAATTTTATACTTTATAGGGTACTGAATGATGTTTGTGTGAATATACTGCTCATGTTGGTATTTCTTATACAGTAGAGTATGCTGGGTGTGAAAAGGTATTCACAAGCAGTGCATTCTGTCCCCAAGAGGCCACATCACCAAAATCCACATGGCTCAGAGGCCTTTCCTTCAACTCAACTCTAAGTGCCACCCTGAAAAGCCACATTTAACTCGGAAGGGTTGCAATGGAAGCCAAGATCCACTTGGGCGGAAACCAGAGAAGCAAGGGGAGCCAGACCAGAAAATTTGGGAGGAGATTCCACAGTTGCTCCCAAGCACAGGTTTTCCACTTGCTGTGGTTGTCATCCTGCCTCCCATCTGTTGTTTAGTTATGTGCAGGAATGAGAAAAGGACTTCTGCCTCAAAAACATCTTAACCATTTATCGTGGTGTCTTTTTTTTTTCTTTGCTTTTAAATGAGTTATTTACAACAAGATGCAACCTATCTAACAGTAGATATTTTCAATCGTTTCACTTTAAATTAATGAAGGTTCACAAATGAGCAACACACCCACTCGGTGACTCTTTTCCTTTTGTATTTATTTGTGTTCATATGTGCTACAGTTCTCATGTGGAGGGAGTCAGCTCTCTGTTCAGGTTGGGCTAAGTGACATCTTGACAGTGAGAACAAAAACAGAGCTTTTTATTCCTTCCCATCAGTTCTTCTGAAGAATCTTACAACTTGTTCCTTTAGCCACACTTTTAAAATGTCATGTTCATATTCATTTGAAGATTCCAATAATGTGTCAACTCTTGTCCTCACATCTGATGCTCCAGTAACTGTACTTTGTCAGTCCTTCCTCTTCTGTTCTCTGCTAGAGTCCCTGTGCTTGGGAGGCTGAGGCAGGAGGATGGAGCATGCAAGCAAGGCTGGCTTCATCCTGGCTGCTTCTCCATGGTATAAGCAATTTACAAAGTTATCTAAAAGGTTGGCATCCAGCTTCATAGTTTGTGACATAATATTACCAAAAATTGAGCCAATGAACCAGTAACTTCTTCCTTCATGTTCAGGCTTTGGGGCCAAGGAAGGTGAGGAAGGGGAAGAGAAGAAGAAATCAAGATAGGCTTCCTGGCTTTCTTGCCAAAAAAAAAAAAAAAAAAAAAAAAAAAAAAAGTGAGGGGGGGGGGAATCTCAGTGGCATGTTATAAACACCTGGTTATAAAGAATGAAGAGCTAGTGTTGCAGTGAGAGGTACGGTGTCTTAATATAGCATTATGAAACTAAGGAGGCCTGAAGCCCCTTCCACAACCATGTGGTCCAAGACTTCCTAACTTCCCTGGCTATAATTTTATCTATAATTTGGGGGTAAGAGGTGGAAAGAGTATATGTGGATTAAAAATAAAGTATTTTTAGAGTGCCTGGCACAGAAATGACTAGTTTTGATTTGGGAATGAAATATTGAAAGCTTGACCCCCATCTAGTGAAAGCAGCCATTGGTGGGCGATTGGATCATAAGAGCTCTGATATGATCAATGAAGTAATTCATTGATGGATTCATAGTTTGATGGTAGGAGGTGGGACCTGACAATAAGAATCCGGTCACTGCAAGCATGCCTTTGAACAGTTCCTTCTTTTGAACAACACCCCTCCCCCCAATCTCTTTCCCAGTCTCTGTTACCACCATGTGCTGTTCAGGCCCAAAGCAAGGTCCAGATGACCTTGAACTGAAAGTTCTGAAACCGTGAACCTTTCCTCATTTTAAGTTGTTCTCAGATGTTTGTCAGTCAGTTGTACAGAAAGCTAACACAATACAATGCATAAATGATGAGTTCTTGAAGACTTACATAATTCATGTTGACACGGGTAACCTAAAGGCTTGCTGCTACCATTTTGCTTAACAGCAAGGGACAGGGATAGATAGATGTTAAGTGTAATGTAGTCAGGTGTGGTGATGCAGGCCAGTAATCCCAGCATGAGGCCAGAAGATCAGGAGCTCAAGGTCAACATCAGTTCTAGGCCAGCCTGAGCTACATGAGACTCTTTCTCAACAAAAGCAGGCAACAATAGTGGTCTGCGGTGTATTTGGGCTCAGAGGCTCTGCCTAGATTCCCAGCAGGTGACCCTGCCTCCCCATTACTTTGGACACTTAGCAATTGGAAACAAGGTCTGTTGTCTGTCTATTCACCCTGGGAGAGAGGTGTAAGAGAGAACAAGCTTCGTTTCTGGGCGTGGCCTTCCAGGGGCGTGGCCTCGAGTTTGGCTCTTGGAGGTGGCATTCAGCTGGGCGCACGCGCGTTCCCTGAGGCGGTGCAACCTGGAACTATGGCGACTGCAGCGGTCCACCCTGCGGCCCTGCGACTGCGGCTGCTCCTCTCGCCCCCGAAGTCCCGGATCCCCGTGCCTCAGATGAAGCCCGCAGCCGCCTTCGGGTAACAGTGCTCGGGGCAGCGTGGGGCCCGGGCTACTGGTGGATGAGGGACCGCGCCTGTCGCTGATAGCCCTTCTTTCCTCAAACCCAGGTCCAGGTCCCACAGAGATAGTGCGCGAGCACTCAGATGGCTGGGGTTCGGTTCCAAGGTGTGGTCCAGGCTCCTCAGTGCAGATGGAGGGGACTGGGAAGGACTTTTGCTGGTAGTCACTGATCCCATACCGGATGTCTGTTAGGCAGTTGCTGGGGATAGTAACTATTCCTGCCTCCTCAGAAATCTGCCTAACAAGCCTCAGTCGCAGGGCCCAACTGCCCTGAGTCCTTTTGCTTGCTAATCTCCAACATCATCATCGTGCTGGAGAAGCTGCTTGGGAGCCTGTGTAAATTAAAAGGCTCGGGCTCCCTGCCAGAGGATGTAATGTGGGAGTGCGCTGATGACCAGGAAACTGCACCTCCCATTCCCCACCACGCTCCACTCAAGCCCTTGGATAAAATAATAACATTCGCGGAGACCTGCTGTCTTTAAAATGGGTGCTCAGTCTCAAGAGAATCTGAACAGAAAATGTGGATAGAGCAGCCTGAAGCTGTGCGTATCCCACCATCTACACACGCAGACATGCCCACTGCGCATGTGCGGTTTGCAGTCAGGGGGCCATTGAAGCTAGTGACTGGCTTTTAGAATTTCACTAGATCCAAAGTGGAAAGCGGTTGTTTGAGCACATAATCTGGAAGCAGGAAGAAGGGAAAATAGAACCCGCTTTTTAAACATTCATAACATGATTGTGTATTTCTTAGGTTTTTATATCGAATTCAGGTTTCTCTCGTTTTAGGATTATGTGACTTTAGCACTTTTTTAATACACAGGTGGAAAAACACATCAGTGGCTATAGTTGTATAAAATCGCCAGTGAATAGTAGGCATTTTATCCAGTTTCCTGTTTGCAGGAAGGGATTGAGATGAGGCTGTGTGTTAATGTCATACTCATTGGTGATTTAATGGATGTTGAGAGTCCTATTCACTTAACTGCAACGTAGATTACTCTTCCTGAAAGATCTCTGTGAAGGTTTTCCTGGGTCGTGTCCTGCCATTTTAGAAATAACATTCTGTACTTACACGGCCTGTAATTTGAAAAATAGCACCGGCTGGTTAATCCCAAAGCCAGGCTGTAGCCCCACACCTGCAACTCGAAGCAAACCTCTTCACACCCAGCGTCCGACCCAAAACTAGCTGTGTTGTGTGGCAGAGTTGCTTGTCAGTCCTCCGCTAGGAACTTTGACCCTTCTCTTACTTCATGATCTTTGTGAACTGTCAAAAAGTATTCTCTGTGGGGACTTGTATGTCAGTTATGACATTAATAATTTACAGAATCTGACAGGCTGAGTGAAAACAATATTTTCTGGGAAGTCCTGCCAGAGAATCTGGTCCAATCCTTCCTCTCATGCCGGCCTCCACCCCCTACTTGGCACTCAGACTGAATGTTACCCCAGCACTTGGCCCTGTTGGGGATTGAGTTCTGCCATGAGGTTAAAGAGAAATCATAGCCTTATGAGTGCAAATAGTGTAAGTAGCTATATTATCCACTCTTCCTAGCTGTGTGACTATAGACAAGTTACTCAACCTCTCTGGGTTTGTATTTGTATTTGAAACAATGACTGTGAAAGCCCCCTGGAACAGAGTAAATCTATACAATTAGTAAGTACAATTAATGATAAGTGAACATATAATTAGTAGCATAATATATAAAAGAAGTCACCAAACTTCATGTAATGGAGCCCTGGTGGCTAATGCTGTGGCTCACTGTTATTTGATTAGAAGCAAGGTGTAAACAATAAGAACTTTCAAAGTGAGTCTGTAGTTTATTAAGCAGTCTCCACTTTCATCTCTAAGCAAGGCGCTGAAGGCAAGATTCTGGGTCAGATGCTCGTCCTGGCTGGGTTAGCTAATCCTATGATCAGCAAATTAGCTTTCCCATCAACTTCCAGCCTCTCTGTGCTAAGTTAGGGTAAGTGCATCATGCACCTCAGAAATGAAAGACGGGGAAAGTACTGAGATGGTGCAGACACAGTGTAGTAAGTACTAGATTTGGTTTGTCTATTTTCCCCAAGAGGTTATGCTCTAGCCTCCCCCACACAATCACCTCTCCCTGTTTGGGGGGAGTAGACCCGCCTCCTGGTGCCATGTAGGAAATCTGCAGGTGGGAGCTAAGGACACACAGGATGGGAAGGTACACTTTGAAGGACTCTTAAGCCTTTTGTTCTCTAAGAAATTAACTCAGTCTTGCTGACCTGTTGAACTAAGTGTGGGTGCCTACTTCCCACTTGCATTGTGGTGTATAGTGCAGCCTGGACAGGCCGGTTTAGAAGGCTGGCTGGTGACTTGAATTCAGAGTTTGAGCCCTGCTGAAATGATGTGAGATGAGCTGCCAGTCCTGGGAGGCTGAACCTGCTGAGCTGCACCTACAGCCCAGGGTCTCCACCACCTCCTCCTTCACAGTGAGCATTGTGCTGTGTCTGTCCATCTCCTGCAAGCCTTTAGCCTTAGGAGGGCGTGCCTTTAGTGTCCTGCAACATGTAATGTTGGAAGCAGTTACAGGCTATGCCCCAGAATTAGTGTC